ATTGTTTAAATTATTATTATTATCATTTTTTTTTTTTAATATTATTATTACTATTATTATTATCATAATTATTATTACTTGTTGTGAAGTAGGCCTACATTGCTTGTGCAAAGAATGCTCTTGGCTTGCATTGTTTTGTGCCCCGTATTATTGTTGTATTTATTGTTGTTTAGCTGTTGTTGTTGTGCTATCACTTTTCTCATTGTTGTTGTTGTTGTTATAGTTTTTGTGTTTGTTATTGTTGTTGTTGTTTCTTCTTCTTTTTCTTCTTTATCTTCTTCTTCTTCTTCTTCTTCTTCTTCTTCTTCTTCTTCTTCTTCTTCTTCATTATCACCAAAAACCCCCGCCCTATCATTATTTTGGACGTTTCGAAGACCCAGTTAGGCGGCCACTAAAAAGTTAGAAATTTGATTCCTTGAAGAGACCTATTATTTGGTTCTCTCGTCCTTTCTCAGACAGTTTCAACTGCATCAGTGTCTAGACAGCGGTACAAAAAAGACAGCGAAAGACCTTGTCAATAATATGTTAGTTTGGCGCTTTCAAAGTGCAGCTTACACGGTATGCTTCCAAGGAAGTTAGGTTTTATTCAAAATGCTATCAGGTCTGCTGGGAATAATAATATAGGCGAGGCATCGTGGTGAAGTCAAGCGCTCGTCAAAATAACGAAATCGAAGAAAAAGGCATTTTTCTTCCAGTTTGGACATTTCTATTAAAATTGTATTTATTTTGAGCTCAAACACCTTTCATGTCCTTATAAAAACACATTTCCACCTTAAAAACGTTTATTAAAGGCACAAAATATGTAAGTTTTAAATTTCCAAAGATCCTTATGCTATTGAAATTACCAAACTTTGGAGGACATTTTCTCGCTAATTTTACTGCTGAATCCAAGGCACCCCACCTCTTTCAATCGCAAATAACTTGACGTCCATTCAAAATAATAATATATGGGTATTTAAAAAATTGAAAGCAAAGCAAATGAATAAACTTTCAGATGGTACCAATAATTCCACATGCCCAAAAATTAACGAGCACCTGATTCCACGGCGTTGTGACACACTGAGATGGTAAGGGCATAGCGCTGGCTGTTGTCCGGTAGTGCACGCTATACAAATGAATGGTGACTACTATTACTATTGATAGGGTAAACTACTTAGATAGGTCATCTACAAAGAAATGAAGTAGTATGAGTTTAACACTTCGCTGCCAGGACCAACACAGCCTGAAACTATTTGGTAGGGTTACAGAGCAAGTCTGACAGTGAAAGGGTGAAGAAAATTAGTGAACAAAAGACATCGTCAATGTTAGCTTATTAAGACTGAAACTCAAGTCATTTGTCATAGTATTCTGTACACAGAAGAAAACGAAATATAGTTTCAAGTTGTTCCATATAACATTGATAGTGTAGATCGATTTATTGCTCCCGTCTTTGAATAAATTGTCTCTAAATGTTTGGAGCAGAGGTAAAAAGGTACATTAATAACCATTTAGTAAGGAAGAACAGCATTGCCAGCATTGCATCTTTGTCAATGCCCCTGCTTAATGTTTAAGACTTTCTTTTTTAAGGCACTTACTTACTCTCTCCCTATACCGTCAGGTACATAAGGCGGAGAGCAGTAGACTCCATGCTTGTCTGTCCACGGTCACGTCGTCCAATTTCGGCATATCCAGGCCCTGGGTGATTGCCTCTTCTCTTATTGTGCCTCTTTAGCTTCCAGTTGGTCTTCCTCGTTTTCTTGAAAGTTCTATATTTATAGAAATCTTTCAACAAAACAGTAAGTCTAGAGGAACCAATGTTTTCACCTTCACGCGTTGAAAAAAATCCTCTTCATTGTTCACTGTTCAGAGACATGACACGTTTTACAAAACGTGCTTTGAACTTGGCGTCCTGCGCAGATTCTGATATATAATCTCCATTTGTAATTTCTTTCGTGACAAGGAGCCAAAGGGGTGTAAGGTTTCTTGCTCTTTTACGCCTTTTTGTGCCTTTCTTACGCCCTTTTTACGCCTTCCGAAACGTCAATACAACTTACGTTCTCACCCCTAGAGGTCACCATAAACCGCTCAAGATGGGGATTTCCCCCAGAGTTCAATCTTTGAACCTTTCAGTTTCTTCCTGCTCCGTCACCTCAAATCAGCGACACGCAGGCTTTTTGTCACCTCCGTATTCATTACATTCATTACATTCATTACATTCATTACATATTCTGACAAGACGCACGGTAGTTTTTTCGTATTTTGAAGGAGTTTGGGAAAAGGAGGGGAGGAGTTCATTTGTTTTCGAGGCGTGATTAGCCTTCCTTTCATCTTCTTCTCCGAGATGTGTGTGTCTGCGTACACCGTCGGAGACGGATAATTGTTTGCTGTCTATGATTATGCCCGCCTTAATTTCTTCCTAACTGCCAACGCTCTTTCTTTCTTGTGTCTAGCTTTCTTCTGCTTCCCTTCTTTATTTCGTCTTCCTCTTCACTGTTCTTGCTCCTGATCGATTTTGACATTCTCTGGTTTTATTTTTTATTTCTCTTCAATCCGTTCAGAATTAAAAAGTTAGTTTCAAAAACGTTTACATTCTAATGTGTACATGAGACCAGTTCTACACAGAAAGCCTCTGAGTTCAAGTAGGCGTCCTCTTGACAACTTGAATGCTGGCCGCTCCTTTGCCTTCCTTTGACCTTGACAATAACTCTCCAATCCTGTTATCCCCCTTTTTTTTCTTTATCATTACTCACTGAGAAAAGAGGGGGAGGTTCATGTCTCATCTAATCTCTGCATCGTATAGAAGCCTTTCATCGGCCTGTGTTGTAAGATTGTCTAATTACGTAATTTGCCTGTTCTTTTTATGTGTATATGTGTATACCCCCCCGGGTATTTGACATTTTCTTTCTTGTGCATTTCCTATCTTGAAAATATATTACAAGATGGTGTACCACACACTTTGGGGAGTTAACTTAGTTTTGGCAACAGAGTACTATTCCTTAACGTAAACGTCATCTTTTGCGGGCCTTGGGATGACTTTTTACCACTAGACTATCGGTAACATTCAGGAAATAAAGCCAACCTTTTGGGGTAAATATCTACTTGCAACTCAAACTTTGGCACGAATCAGTAAAACCATTTACTTCTGACGATACAAGACGTAATGTGATGAAAAGAAAGCTTTTTTTTAAAAAAAACAATTTTGCATAAAAACAGTACTAGTCTTAGAACTATCCTCGTTATGTAAATGAAAATAAAATGAGGTAACCATAAATAAAGTATAAAAGCCTTACATTATTGCCATATTTAAAATCAACGTTTGCATGAAGTTTTTACCGATTCTACGGCCACCAGCGTATGTGGTGCAGCAGTTAGGCGCTTTGCCGTCTCATGCAGAGTACGTGAGCTCGTTTCCCATGTGGGAAGAGCTTTCATTGGGCGTCTTCGTCTGTTTGCCAGAAAGTTGCACCCGTCTCATTCCGAGTTCGCCATGACAGGCAGGGTCGAAATTTTTCGCTGCCTAAATGATCTGAAACAGTGTCAATGATTGCATAAAACGCTTACAAAATTACTTTAGTACAATCAGAGTTAGGTGCCATAAATTCAGGGCGCACTTTGTCTACTTGTGGACTGCGCAGGGCGGGATCGAAATGATAAGTTGGGTGGGGCAATGCATGCTTGTCATGCGCTACCCGAGAATTACAAAGTTTTGTCTGCTCAGTGCATAGTTTTGAGAAATTTGACGTTAAAAACTTTGAGTTTAACATTATGCCAAGCTTTTTAAAAGCAATTCTTTGAATATCTTGATAACAACCCCGAATAATCTTACGATTGTGATTGAGCAGATAGAAGATTTGGTTTGTGACCTCATGGTCTTTGTAACTCTAGACGGCCAAAAATATCAGATAAACCTTTGTAATTCTACTGTAGCGAATGGTCACTTGTCTAGAGCTGAACTTAAGTAATGTGGAATGCTGTCCCAAGAACTAGTTGCCTTCAACAATAATATACCTTTGAACTATAACTTTGGTCTATGCGCTCATTTGAAATAACATCTCTTTCATTTAGTGAAGGCTACAGCGATTAGCGTGTTAGAATAGCTTCCCAGGTATTTATACATGAATCTGAATTATTGAAAATATAACAGCATTCTTCAATATAACAGCATTATTTAATATAACAGCATTCTTCAATATAACACTTATTTTTCATCTCTTGCAATTTGTTTCTCTCTAAGTCTCGACGTTCAACTAAACCCATAAAATAGATTAATGTTTCATTTGGGCTGATCAAGTTCGATTCTGACAGACACTCTGGCTAGCTTTCTCACTGCCATTCTGCACGGTCATTTGAAAATTGAGGTAGTTGCCTAAGTGTTGTCAGGCGCTTAGACAGGAACGGCGGGATTCAGCATGTTTCACGACTTGGTGAAATCAGGCGCTCGTCAATGTTTGAGCATGGGGAGTTATTGGTTTCATCTTAAAGCTTGTTCAGTTGTCTTGCTATCAGTGAAGAAAACATACCCATCTATCTTGAATAGAAGTCAAAATATTTGAGATTGAAGAAGTTGGGACTGCTTAGTTTCAAAGGTAGAAAATGGCCGCCAAAGTCTGGTTATTTTCATTGCCTGAGAGCCCGTGGAAACTGAAAATTTACCTTTTTTGTGCCTTTAATCAACGTTTTTCAGTAACATCCACACATAAATGTGCTCTTTAATGGGCATGAAAGGTGTTGAGCCAAGAAACAAAAGTCCAGTAAAGATTCCAAAATTTCAGAGGAAAAATGCCAGTTTCTTCACTTTCATTATGTTGACGAGCGCCTGATTACACCACACTGCCTCAAATATTTATTTTGGGCAGCCATGATTGTGCAACAGCCAGGCTGAATATGTTTCAGAGCTTACTTTACTGCCATACTTTTTATTTTTGTTTTTCCTTATGATTTCTCGAATTTTAAAAGTGAAATGTAACGGAACGCTTTCTCTCTGCCTCCCCTCCCCACCATCCACCACCCCATTCTTTTAGATCTAGCCGAGGTACACAGAGTGTCTGGAAACAACGCCAAACTGTCGTCTGGTAGTAGCCCCGCGGTCGGGAGATCGTCTTGTGCGGATCAATGTCTTACCCGGATTAGGGCGGACGATCGAACAGGCCATTCAATTCCAGAAGGACCGGCCAGTAACGACAGGTTACCAGTTACTAAGTGGGGCGAAAATCCAGCAGCAAGAACGAACCAATGGTGCGGCCGAGACGAGAAAAAATCCTGTAACGACCCAACGGAAGATTTTGTCGATTACGCTAATGTGAGTAGCCCTGTTATCGCTTGCTGCCAAGATCAACAGGAATTTGTGGGCCAGGGTGAAAGGCTGGAGCCAGTAACGACAGGAAAAAACAGCCCCACGTCGAACCGCGCGTTTTATGGAAATCAGTGCACGTCGTCGGAAAAGAACACCCTTTGCAACGTCAGCATTTCACCAGAGTGCGACAGTCAAGCAGAAAGGGAAATAAAGTTGACCAATAAAAGTTCCAACATGGTGGATAACGCGATCATTGGGCCCGACTCGACACCAGAGAGTTTATCGGGTGAAGACAATAATCCAATTGGCACTCGACCCTGTTGCCAGGCGAGGCATGAAGAGGTTTCGACAGATCGACTTCCTGCAGAGATGTGTTATACCACCTCGGGAGTAAAGGCTGGGCCGGGGGTACTCGGTTCTCCTAATCCGGTTCACACTACTGTTCCTTCCCCATCTTCACCAGACAAAATCTGGGTAGAGCTCCCATCAAAAGCGAGCAGCGATGACATAACCCATCCACGCCCAGTCACGTGTGTCTATTACAACCATCACGTCAGAGGCAATGTACATCCTACAGAGCTCAGCAAAATATCACCTCCATCCATTCATGCCGTTCCTAGATCTGGACATAGCTCACTCGGCACTTCGTCCTGTAAAAATAATGACCAACAACAATGTTATAAGTCCTTAACCAGGCTCGATTCCGGAGTGTGCTCACCGACCACACCTCACAGCGTCTCTTCAACCACATTCGAGTTGGGCTTTGATGTGGTTCCAGTCACGTCCCCTTGCCACAAAGAATCTCCTCTGGTGCAGCCAAACTCTCAACTACCTCTCTTTTGCAGTGCACAAGGAGAAACAAAGAGAACTCCATGCAGCAAACCTTATACCTGTTACAACCAAAACCTCAGCACTTACCAAAACGAACAGTGGATCGCTGCAGAAAAATCCCAGTTCCCTAACGGGTCATGCGGATCTGGAGAAAACAGCAGCGTCTTCTGCAATAAGCTGATATCTCTCTTCAGCTGCAACTGCCTCCAGAAATGCCAGTTCCGGAAAAGGAAATCTTTCTATTCCGCCAAGCCCTCTAGTTCCTCACTCGCAGACCAACACGAGGCAGCGACGGACAGTGTAAAGCACAGAGGGGCACCCAGTCCGGCGGGAAACATTGGCATCTCCAGAGCCAAGATCAAAACCGTGAAGCTGACTATTACAGTAGTCATCTGCTACATAATCTGCTGGGCGCCATTCTTTGTGGGTCAGATGTGGGCAGCGTTTGACATCAATGCACCATACGATGGTAAGGCCACAACTGTAATATTATACTCTTCTTCTCTCTGTTCTGTGGTGCGTCCTGTCGACGGACCGCTGCTTGTTGTCTGTCTGTCTGTCTGTCTGTCTGTCTGTCTGTCTGTCTGTCTCTCTCTCTCTCTTTCTCTCCCTCTCTCTCTCTCTCTCTCTCCCTCTCTCTCTCTCTCTCTCTCTCTCTCTCTCTCTCTCTCACACACACACACACACACACACACACACACACACACACACACACACACACTCTCTCTCTCTCTCTGTCTCTCTCTCTTTCTGTCTGCCTGTATCTCTCTATCTACCTATCTATCTCTCTGTGTCTCTCTCTGTCTATATCTCTCTCTTTGTGTGTGTGTGTGTGTGTGTGTCCCTGTCTCTCTTTCTCCTTCCCTGTCTCTCTCTCTCTCCTTCCCTGTGTGTGTCTCTCTCTCTCTGTCTCTCTCTCTCTCTGTCTCTCTCTCTCTCTGTGTCTGTCTTTCTTTCTTTCTCTCTCGCACACCCTCTAGCCAAGTATCTACACATGTGTATCTGTGTAAATGTGTTTGTTTGTGTGTACGTATGTGTATGTTTGCACGTATTCGCGTGTACGTTGATGTGCGGGTAAAGCTCTTCCCCCTTCTCTTGGTTTATGGAAGCTGACAAAGAAAATATCTCATCATGATTAAATTCAACTGTGCAAATCTTCCTGCTTGAAATCTATGTAAACATTCCTGTCTGTGGGTCTTTGCGTCTGTTTGAGCTTATTTACTTCTCTTTTTCTTCGTTTTATTTTCTTCATAATTCCGCCTCTATACCCGGAGTTTGGTGTCGCCTGAAGCATCTGTTCCCGATAAACTGAAAAACATCACCACCATTTTTGTCCATCATTAAACCGGGAAACACAAATACCACCACTGTTGAGTTCGAAAAAGTACTAACAAAACAACAATCTGAGGTTTTAAAACTGTAAAAAGAACTACAGTACCTAAAGGACATTGATTTATCTACCCTTTTAAAGAGCAAACAGGAAAATCGGAGCTCAACAAAAACAAAACTCCATTAGTTAGACTTGTTTGCACATTTTTGACGAGTTCTTTCTATCTTTATTTTAATTTTAGTACGAATTTTACGGCACTTGCAATACAAATAGGGAGTGTAAGCGCCGATGATCTGAGATTATATTAGAGCAATTATTCCTAGTCTGCTTATTTCGTGAATACAGAATAGTGGGGGGGGGGGGGATTATGATTGTGCAAAAGACTTAGAGACCATCCTTGTTTATTTGGCGACCATTAAGGTTAGCATTCCCGGTTGGGAAAGTCTATTGCACCGAGTATCTACATCTTTCTGCTGCTGAGATGCTGCCCTCAATGCAGCGTGATAGAGAGAGAGAGAGAGAGAGAGAGAGAGAGAGAGAGAGAGAGAGAGAGAGAAGGAGAGAGGGGGAGGGAGAAAGAGACAGAGCGGGAGGCGGAGAGAAAGAAACAAGAATAGAAACAGTTTGGGTAGAATCGAAATTGATGCATGATACTACTATTTAACATCAGGCACAGGACTGAACACAGCAAATACTCTAGATGAAACCTTGACATATATATGGAAGACTATTTGATATCATTAGTCATCTGTCATAATTTTGTCATCCGCCTTCCTCTGTTCCAGAGTTATCTGTCGTATTTTTTAAATTTGTTTTGGCCTGCCAACAGCTTTTAAATCAGCAACCCAGCACGGTATAGCATTGATGCAGTAATTATTATTCCGATAGAATCATTTATCGCGCATTCTGGGCATAAAAAAAGCTTTGTTTGTTTAGTAAGCTTTTACGGCGCTCGCAACTGCATAAGACCATATGAGCGCTACGAGGTGGATGTCAACAGAGAACTCAAAAACGAGGAATCTAGCTTACTATGTTGACCTCTCTATCCTCAACAGCACAAAGTCTTCTTCCACTATCGAGGCACCCCGGAAATCGGAGTTCAGAAGAGAGCGACAAACAAACAAAAGAAGTAGTGGGAAAATGACGATAGTAAGGATGGGGAAAGAAAAAGCTGCAGTTCCCTCTATGTTGTTCCGGCACATTATGAGCATGACATAGATAAATCAGCCCATTTACAATTGTATTATACATATTAAGAATATGTTAATACCCCCCCCCCCCTTTGGGAATGGCCTAAAGACACTTCAGTCAGTAACACTGTCTTGGTTGGGCGGGGGGGGGGGGGGGGGGGGCCATCACACGATAACACACTCCTCGTTTATCCTCTACTTGTAATAAAAGAAACTTTCACAACACTCACCACTCGCCCCTCCGTAGTGGCCCACTCTGTACCTGTGGCCTATCTCACGCTTCTTCCATAAGATAGTATGTACAAAAAACTTTCCCTATACCTCTCTATCTCATGCTGGGCGGGGAGGGGGGGGGGGGGGGGTAAAAGCGTAGGACGCTGGCGTCGAGGAGTTTGAAGAAGATGAACACAACTCTTCCCATTGAGACTGTCGGTGGTGAAGCTGGTCATTTATTTCCCCTCAAGATTATATTTTGCGGCCTTAAGTAGACCGTTTAGTCACAATTAATAGTAATAATGATAAATAGCCTTAGTATAGTGCATGTCCCCACTCAAAAGCAAGCTCTAAGCGCTTTACACTATATTATTACCCCAACAGACCATAAAACACTCGGAAACATTCTCAGCTTCCCGAGAAGCATACACTAATTAAGTGTCTGTCCATCTTGTCTATTATTGATATTTCCGAGTAAATAAGGGATGATTGTAAAGGGTGTACAATTAATAAAAGATCCGTCTAACAGCTTAGTGCCAGACTCTTGTATTCTATTGATACGAATGACGCTATTTACAAAGACGAGCAATCTGCCTTTGCGTTGGCGTTCACAGTGGACACATTTTCTCCTATAAAGTAAAAGGATTTGGCACCAGTAGAAAACGCTAATGGGAAAGATCGCGCATATTATATATGTAAGAGCCGGTCTCTTCATACACTCTGCAATTAGTTGTTTTAAAGATGAGAGAAACACATATGTGTCTCATCGTGGTGAAATAAGGCGGTCGTCAAAATAATTAAGTCGTAGAAACCCGAAATTTTCCGTCAGTTTGACAATTTTTATCGAATTTTTTTTTCCTTTTTTTTTTACTCAACACTCTCCTTGTCCATTTAAAAAGCGCATTTATGTGTGAACTGTGCACAAAAATTGTGTTGATAGAAGAATTTTTTTTATAGTTTTCATCAACAACTATCAAGCTACGGAAGTTGCCAAACTTTGACGGCCATTTTCTCGCTAATTTGACCTCTGACGACCCCCATCTCCTTCAATTGCAAATATCTCGACATCTTTTAAAGACAAATGAAAAAAGCTTTTAATATGATGTCAATAACTCCACATGCCCCCAAATTGACGAGCGACTGATTCCACCGCGTTTTGACACATTCTATACCAGCTGGCTGTAGATAATTGGAACATCCGCTCTTTGGAGAGTCTATTACAAGGTAGAGAGAGGCTTACGGGATTGATAATTATTAAGGAGGGAGGGGAGGAGCTGGTATATAAACCTATCTCGGTAACTATGACCTTTCAGATAAAGCCTTATAGAATTGAGGTATAACAGGAAAACATCTCTAAAATATGACGTTAATTAATTAATTTTTTTAGTCTACGTTTACCATGGTAACGGCCGCCATATTGAAAATAAACAGCTCTCACAAAGGTACAAAGGATTTTTTATTTGCCAACCCGTTTTGTTCAAATTTGGTACATTGATATATATATATATATATATATACAATTGGGATCTTGGATATCTTGAATGTGAAAAAAAGTTAGAGATGGATAACAGACCTACCCATTCATGTCTCTGAATTCGATTACATAATCATCCGTGTAACTCCCTTATTAAGGCTTTGATTCTTTGATTTTAAATTCCACCTGTGTAAAGTTAGGTTATGGTGTGAATAAACAAGCCCTAAAATGTCTTTGGAATAAAAAAAAAATAAAATAAAAAAGTAGATGAGAAAAACTATCAAAAATTGAAGTTTTGAGGAAAAAACGACATTTTGTTACATAATAGGCAAAATAAAAGTTCTAGGACAGAAAATCTGAAAGATGATGATTGTAACACAAAGAGTAGGCACTTTTTAGATTTACAAGTGATTGGGGTATTATAGTATGTAAAAAGTCCCGATACCATAAATTGACCGAAAATCGTCAATTTAAAACCGGGCCACATTTTTCCCCCCCCCCCCCCCCCCCGCCCCCCATCTTTAAATCAGGTCGCGGGAGAAAAGTGGGGACAATGTCCGAAGATGAGATACATTTTATTATGAATAGTATGTGTCTTAGAAAAATGTATGTTTTAAAGATACAATCTTAACATTGAGGTTATGTCTGAAATTGAGGGAGTTCATTGAACTCTTTGTTCATCTTTTGGTAAGGTAGAGCGGTATGTCTTACCGATTTCCCTAGAGTTCTGTACCTACTGTTTGGCAAGAACAAGTGTCTGCAACTCACTGATAAGGCGCATTCTGATCATTCGACAAAGCAAAAAGGTGTGCTGTCTTGAGGCATAACTTCGTTGATGAAACATATTGGGGGGGGTGGGGGGGATATATAGACCTTTAATAGATACGCAACCGTATGCACACTATGAAAATAATACGCAAACTCTTGTCTCTGATTTGAGTATTGTATTTTGAAAGGTGCCAAACACATTGTCTTTTCTCTGCTGCGAATCAGATGTCCTCAGAGGTAACTGTCAGTTTGAGATCAGCGAATTGAAGATTTTTCTAGATTTTCTACACGTTACGAGTCGAAATTATTAGTGGTAAAATGGTATGGGTTTAACTCCCCTTTCAACATTGTTAGGTTATTTAAGAGGCTCCAAGCTTAACACCCATCTCCGAAACGACCGAGCTTACGAATCCTGTAGCCTAGCACTAAGCTACCGACGCCACCGTTACGAGTCGTAATTCAGACCCTCTTTACAATTAAAGTAAGAACACAATTATTATAGTTATGACTGAACTAGGAATTTGACACTTTGCTATCTTACTCGTGATGTTTAATTGTGTTGATGAAGTCTTTCTTCTACCACATTCGCCTCGCGACCGCAGTTTGCTTGTGAAGTATTTAAGTTGTTCGCATATTAAATTGTCGGCTCACACAAAATGCTTGATCAAGTAAAAGACTCGCAGGCTCGACTGTGTCTGTGACCGACCACACAGGTGGAAAGGGATACAGAGCCCAAAATAGATATTGCAATTGCAATAAAATAACACCTTTACATTTTGCCGCTGTCATCGAAGGCAGTCTATTTTTTTATGGACCAATAGGTTATGTAATTACATGTCCACCATGCTTGTATAATATTGTATAATATGACAATGACATCATCATCCAATGTCAGATCTGCGGCAGACATGGGCGATCATGGTTCTCCATTCATTCCTTTGCTCAGATGCTCTTAATAAAAGCTACGTTTCCCTGATCTTTCTCCGTTACCCATTTGGTTAGATTCCTTTAGTAGATTGAATAATACAAGTGTAGATACAATCATCATGGGTATGTACAGACTCTACACGTTTATAAATTTAATATTATAATTTATGTGTTCACCCAACTACATATTTTTTCTCCTCAGGTCCGTTCTTCAGTATTATCATGCTTCTCGCTAGCGTCAACAGCTGCACCAACCCCTGGATCTACACCATCTTCAGCAACACCATCTGCAACAGAATCCGCGCTCTCCTCATGGCCCCCTGCCTCTTTTTCGGCCGTTGTCGACTGGGAGGCAACGCTCCGGTCAAGTCCGGCAGTCATCGGAACTTTCCGTCGTCCTCTGTTCGGAGACACAAAAAGTACCCTATGTCTCAAGGGACGACTTGTACAACGTATGACTGATCTTTGGACTTACATTTATTTCTTTGGTGGCAACTCTTTGATTGAATTATACCATGCCGTCTGTACGATAATGTACATTAGATTATTCCCAATACATAAGATGTCATTTATTGCACTATTCCAATCATGCGTGTCTAGTAATAATTGTTTCTTTACTGCCATTATTTACCATGTGAAATGGTTACAGTCCATTTCAATTAATGCTTTGTCTAACAGGGCGGCGTACTGATTTTTTAAATTTTACTTGATTTGTCTTGTGTTTTCAATTGCCCTCGACATGTCGCACAATACCATAAAATGAGCATGCTGTCGACTGTCTTAAAGTTTACAAACTATCACCAACCTTGAATTATTGTCTTGTCATTCTGTTTAAGTTTAGTAAGAGTTTTACAGTGATTGCAACTGCACAAGGTTATATGAGCGCGCGGAATGGAAGTTGGTTGCATTCACTACAATTCATAGCACGGCCTGGTTTTGATCAAAATTTCGATTAAAAATTGAAAAGTTTGTGGTAAAATCTCGGTTTTAAAATCACACTTTCAATATGTTTTAAAATAAATCTATCTGCAATTTATTGTAAATGCCAAAGGCCTTCATGAAATCGAGATTTCTTTTGGATTATTGTCATCCAGACGATACTGTAATAGCACAAATGAAAAAGAAATGTGAAAGAGTAAGGGAAAAATATCATTACGTTATATTGTATATAAAAAGAAGCGTGCAATCTTTCCCTTGAAATATCTATCGTCCTGATCTCTCCTCCTTCTTTTTTGCGTTTGTTACTCTCTTGTAACACTTCTAATCTTCGGCACGTGCCCGTAAAAGAGGTGTAATATGGTCTCCCTTTCTTTTCTGTAAAACTGAACGTGCAGCATTGTTTTGGACAGTTTTAAGGACATCACTTAAAGGCTCAAAAGGCCCAAAAAGGCTCAAGTCTAGAATAGAAGATGATTATTTCTGAAAGTTGCTTTTAGAGTCTATTTGACTGTTTCCACCCATGTGTTCAGCGTGTGTTTCTGGTATTATCTCGTGACATCAATTACTGACTAGACAGGACATTCGTAAGTGGGTGGTTGGCGGATGCTCTAGTGTGGTTTACTCCTTCTTTCATATCAAAATCTGCAGTCCATATCTCACCTGCTCTATGTCTACGTGTGTTACTCTCTTGTAACACCTCAAATCCTCACCACTTATAGGACCACATTGTGTTGCAAGTGCCGTAAAACTCTTACTAGAACAACTAACGAAACCGACAATGACGATAAACAGCAACCCAAGTTGGACACTCCCACTGGTCACTCTACAATAAACGTCTGGGCACAATTAGTGCTCTTCCCATGAGAGCCAGTGGTGTTTATGTCAAGAATCACAGGCAATTATCAGGTAATCATTTTCTACTTGACATTGCCTTTTTTTTTAACGCACACACCAAGCTATTGGCTTACTAGAGAGCTGTTATGTGTAACAATTCTTGACCAAACTCACGTGTACTGACGAAGCTATTTTGAGTAAGGTAAGTACAAGTATAACAACCCGAACTAAAAGGCAGGGGTATCTTAGGAAATGTTGAGTAAAGATTAGGCCTACTAACAAATGAATTCACTTATTTTTGTTTCACCGCCAGCCTGAGTAACATCAAGTCACATAAAAGCAAACGATCCAC